ACACACACACACACACACACACACACACACACACACACACACACACCTGGGCCTGCTCTAAGTTCCCAAGGATATATTCCAGGTCTTAACACCTTTAGGGTCCTTTCTTCAATTGGGGATAATGTTCCATGGTCATAAAGGGTTCATTCCCTGCCTTCTCTAGCTAGGGGGCCAGGACTCTTAGTGATAAAAGGTGTGAACCATAGCGTAAAATATCGTGCCTCTTCCTTACACATCAATTCCACTAAAAGATTTAGGGGGAACTTAAATATATACATATACATATAAATATATACATACATATGTAGGTATATAATTAAATGAACATATATGTTAGTAAACATGTATATATATTTAAACTATACATATATGTATATATTTAAAGTAATATGGGTATATTACATAATAGAATGCAAAATTTGCATTATTTCTGATAAACATAAAACCGCAAAACAGTTTTATGCTAGCACTGCTTTGACAGTTTCCCCAAACCCCCAGTCAGGGCTGACTTACCCATTCAGCACAGTAGGTACTATGCCTAGGGCCCGTGATACTTGTAGGGGCTCATGAAAGTGTTTTTAATTTCTTTTAAAATCAGAAGAAAATAAATGAACTTTTGGGTTGAAAAAAATGTTTTAATATATAATACTAATATATCTATCTTTATATTAATACAGTCATAAAGTATGTGTGTATTTTTAATGTAGAAAGGGGTCCATGAAGACAGAAGTGCCTAGGGCCCCCAAAAGCCATAATATGGCCCTGCCTGTAGGGACATACTTTCAGTTCACAGTGAAACATGTGAAAAGCTCTGAATTTTAGGCATCATATCCTTTCGATGTGTTATTCTTGAGAACTGCTATCTTCAGATTCCAAGGAAATGAAGTCCAAATGGTAGAATTTCGTACGTCCTTGAAAGGCAATGGAATAGATTTGCAAGACAAGGATTTCCTGTGACTACACTGCAGATCCTGCTGTCTACAGCCCTCTGTTAAGAGGGTCTTCCTTATTCACAAGTCACCACTGCTGCCCCCAGATGCCTTGACCAATATTTACATAGAGTGGCCGAACTTCTTGCGTGAGTTTCGCTGTCAAACCATAAAATCTTAGACCTTGAAGCCACTGGGGACACCTGGGTGGCTCAGTCCATTAAGCATCTGCCTTCGGCTCAGGTCATGATCCTGGAGTCCTGGGATCGAGCCCCGTGTCATCATCGGGCTCCCTGCTCCGCAGAGAGTCTGCTTCTCCCTCTCCCTCTCTCCCCACTGCTCTCTCTCTCTCTCTCTCTCTCTCTCAAATGAATAAATAAAATTTATTTAAAAAAAAAGAACTTGAAGCCACTGAACCCCAACCCCCATCAATGGAAGAGCCCCTTTCTTACCATCCTTGACCACTCCCTCGGCATCAGTTTGAGCACATCCTGACACTGCCTGCCCTTGGGAGCTGCAAAGCTGCTTCCCTTTGGGTTCTTGTCTTCAAGGAAATACTGTGAGAAAACCCAGAGATACACTGGTTGCTACAGATGCAGCCCAAATGTCAGAATGAGCCCAAATGTATGAACGCCACGAGTCCGTGGTGGTGGACGCACTACACACTGTGGGCAGTACCCACAAGTACCATTGTGGTCTCATCATCCTCGGGGCTCAGTTCCAGACCGTCCTCCACCACCCTATGCAGGGTGCTGTAATGTTGCTGGCTTTGGTGAAAAGAATGGAGCTCAGAAGCCGCCTCCCAGGCTGCAAAGGTGGGCATGGGGAAGACTTCTGGCCTCTTGTTTTCAAAAAAGCATTTCAGGTTTCTCTCACTCAGCTTGTTGGCATACTCCAGGAATGTATTTTCCAACTGCTCCTTCTCCTTTTGTGCGTACGTCTTCCAAAAACTCAGCTGAAGGTAGCTAACTTTAGATCGGCAGCGAGCGTAACATGTGGTGAGCAGAGAGAAGAAAGATGCTGAACAAATCAGGCACCATCCTAGAATCTTAGAAAGAAAGAAATATTGAGGATGTGCAAAAGCAAAGCCACTTCCCAGGGGGTGGAGGTGGTGTTACTGGTAAGTGTATGGCTAAATTAATACCACAGTCATTGCCACGTCTCAGTGGAAATCCTTCATGTTAATTTTTTAACAGTACTTTTTTAACAGTCAAAGTAAATGTGGGTTTATCTAATCCCTATCATCCATCCCACCCACCATTGCTGGTATGCAGAGAAATAACCAGAAGGCAGACAAATGGAAAAGAGCAAAAATATAAATTATTCAAGAATCAGGTAAACCAAGCCCTCAAGTAGTATTAGTTATTAAAGGAAAGAATTCCGTGCATGAGTGAATGTGATCATCGGAGCAAATGAACATTTTCTCAGCCAGGAGTTTTCAGGCATTGATAAATACATATTCGTGGCTAGTGACTGATTTTTCCATGTTACATTGTTTGCGGAGAAAAACGGACCCTCTCTGAGAAAAATCTCATTACTCATCATCCATCATTAAGTGAGAGAGACATAATAGAATGGGGAAACTGAAGCTAGAAAAATTGAAAGGCCGCAGAAAAGCCAAGAAAAAAAAAATTAGAGTCATTCTAAACCTTCAGGATAATTGGTTCTGAATTTTGGTAATTAGAAAAAAAATTCCTTTTTGAGTACAAACTGGTTCAACTGGCATTTTTTTTTTCTGAATTTTAAAAGCAGAACTCTAAATAGCTCAACTGACCTTCTAAACTTTCTTGTTGTTCTTAATTATATTTGTCACAATTGCAATTAATTTCCTATTTGGGCAACTAACGGAGCCCTTTCACAGTTTCTCTTAACATTTTCATTAAATGACTCTTAGTATTTCTCAGCAAATGGGCCTATTTGAAAATAGAAGGAATAATCTGCAAATGAACCCATTCAGACCGCAACAGAACTACAAACAAGCCCCGATGCTTTAAACCGGGAGTTCCCACCCTCGGGCTCAGACTATGGCGTCATTGTGAAGGCCTCGGACTCCACATGAATGCCAACTCTGGACTGGCACTAGGTGGCTTTAAATCTCAACCTTCCCCTCCCTATGGGTGTTCTCATTTCCTATGGGTGCCTCACTTCCTCAATTGTAGAATGGGGGTTACCCACCTCAGAGGGGAATCTGGGGGGTTAAAATAAGGCAATGTAGACATACATATGCCCTCAGGAAGTGTCCGCTAGTATCACACGCTGCTATTTCTCAAACGGATAGATGTTTATGTAAAAGCATTACTGAACTCATGGTATCTTTCTGACATGATTTGTGAAGGAGGCACAGCTCCTATCATGTGAAACCCCTCGTAGTTACTTTGAGCCACTTGTGGTTGGCTACTTCAGATCTTCCTCTTCTCTTCAGTGCCTACCTTCCTCTTTCCACACAGCCGGGCCTCCTGTAGGCCAGTAGGGCCATCTCACCTCAGTATCGTGAGCCAATTCTGCTTGAGTTACACTATTTGATCAACTACAGACACCTCCTCTCATGTTGCATCTTAGTGTCACCTTGCTCTCACCTGAGTGCTGAGCCCTGAGCCCTCTTGTTCTTCCCCAACTCATAGTACCCAGAATCTAACTAGACATGGTGGATGCTCCCACCCCAGCCCTCAATGTGTTCCACTGTGCACGACTCCTCCCCTGCCCCAAACCCTGGCAGTTTTCTCATTAACTTAGAACACTTACTGTGCATCGGCCCCTGTATGCCCATGTATGTCCATCACCTCTACGCCTTCCAGCAGCCCCCCAAGGGAGGTGTTATTAGTCCCAACTATGAGAAAACAGGGGCTCAGAGGGGTCAAACCATGAGCTCAGGGTCACAGAGCTGGTAGGTGGTAGAATCAGGTTTCAAACCCAAGGCTGGCCAACTCTAAGACCAAGCTCTGGCCACTAGTCCATGCGACTTCCTTAAGAATAGAGAGCCGCCCGGCTGGATTTCTTGTTTTTTTTTTCTTGCCCCACCCATGGATGGGGCACTTTTTCCACCCCCACCCACATACCCAACTATTGATCTGGACTGTGTGTTGCTCCTGCCCGGCTGAACCACTGTGGTCAGCACCTGCCACTGACACAGCTCTCCTTGTCCACATCCCGTACACATCCTCCCCCAGAAATCAGCCCCAGGTCCTTCTCATTCTGCTGGAAAGTAAACAGGTGGTGTGCCCAGGCTAAGTGATGACAGGATATGCATGATTTCCTTATGCCTGTGTCTGGAGAAGAAAAGCTCACAAGTGATAAGTGTTTGGATCTGGCGCCAACTGAATAGAGTCTAGTGCCTGAGGACATAAATCATAAATCACTCATTGTATCATAACATTCAGAATTAATACTTCCTCAACAAAAGAAGGAAGACAGTGGGATCCTGGCATGTTTTCATTTAGGATGTCCTTTATGCATTAAACAAAGGATTTTGTCTGGGGGCATTTTTAAGCTTATCAGTTTGTGTAAAAAGCACGGTGTGACTCTACCTCCAACCAGCTTTGGAAAGCATATGATTTTACTTATTTATTTTGGGGGGGAAGTATGATTTTAAAACCAGACTGCCCTGATGTGTTGTTGAAAAGGCAAATCCTTGTTGAAAAAGTAAAATTATCCTCCTTTCAGTGCCTTTCTTCGGAAACCAATGGCATTCCTGACAAACTGCGGATCTGTTTATCTGCTCTGATTAGCTGTTTTGGTTTGGGGATTGTGACCCTACGACTCAGGAGGAGGAATTCAGTCTTTTTCCTGAGGTCAGGGCTAGGCTTCACATCTGGATTTGTGCTCAGGTACCTGGAAGGATGACAAGCCACCTCCCTGGGCCAATTAGGTAAAGCTACAGTTTCCTTCTGTTAAATAAAACAATGTCCCAAATCTTGAGCTGCTTGAGTAATGTAAGAACCTCTTTAGCTGTAGAGAGCACAAAGAGCAGAGGACGTAACCTCCCCAGAGAATATGGTCCCTTTTCACTAGCGGCTCTTTAAAGACTGGCGATGCCAACTTTACCAGGAAATTTTTCTCAATCTCGACAATATTTATACACAGAGATAACAGGGGCCAGAGATCACTTGAGGGGATCTCTACACTAATTATATTACGTGCCGCTTTGAAAAACATCCGCTCGTTTGGTTCAGCTGTATTTTAATAGATGAAAGCTATCTGCGTGTGTTTTTCTGAGAAACCAGTTTGAAAATAAATAATTGATAGGAGGCAGTAATTTCTAATTACAGCTCTGACATTAGCACTCAATTATGAGTTAGTGTCGTGCATTATTCACCAAGTCAACCCAGAGAGATCATTTTAAAAGCACTTAAGTATTTACATATGCATAACCCAGAGGATATTTTCTTTTCGGAAGTGGAAAAGACAATCCTGTCAGCAATTTTACTGAGCCACCAACCTCTAAAAAAGCTTTTCCTGAGATTGTCTTCATGCTGCATCGTGTTCCAATTTTCCTTTAGTTTCAAAATGTCCTAGCAGGATTCAGACTCAGCCCTGCCTGAGAGGAGTATCCGAGAGAATCCTTCAAGCTCCTCCTGGGAGAGAAAGGTGAGTTGGTCCTTCCTTACCTGAGACTGGGCTTGAAGGGACAGCTTCACTTCTTCATTGTCCGCGGGTGTCATGCTGGTTTTGCCACAAGAGACTTTGTAAAGTTCATCCCAGCACTCTTGGGGCTTGCCCTTGCAAATCAGTCCCAAGAGTCTTGAACTTTTGGTCCCGCTCATGGCACATTCATAAAAAGTTCCATTGAGCAGAGCCACAGAAAGCCACATCATCGGAGCCACCAATGAACTCAGAGTGATCTGACCGAGGACATAGAAAAAGCGGCAACTGTGGCCTTTGGGGAAGATTTTCCTGGGATTCACACAGCAGCCTGTGAAGAGCCTCCAAGACTTGCCGTTCAGGAAGAATCCCAGGATCAGTAACACCCAAGCAGGAGCAAAGAGGAAAACCAGCCCATAGACCACATTCTCGGTGCTGCAGGGACACTTAAAAGCCACCAGGGAAAAGAGACGCTCACTCCCCACGGTCAGCAGAGCCATGAAGCTGTAGCCGATAACAGTTTTCTGGTTGAGGAAGAATTTTAAAATCCCCCGAAAAGCATCCATGCTGAAGAGACACCAAGGGAAAAGGCTTTGCCCTTATTTATTGGCAGACCAGCTGTGGCAGTGGCCGAGGGTGGAGCTCTTTCTTCTTTAGAAACAACAGTCCTCCTTCTTCAGACTGAATTCAGCCAGATAAGGAAACAATGTCATTCCCCAGGAATGAGTATTTCCCAACCATGTTCAGATAATGCCTCCTACTGGTGGATTTTGTGCCGGGGAAGCGGGGCCAAAACACTGAGAATCGGAGAAAATTCAAAGTGCACCGCTTCTATTTTACATTATTTTCACATCGCTTGGTTCTCAATCATAGCAATAATAGTCTAGGAATTTTCCAGCCAGAGGAATCAACATGAGCAGAAAGAGGTTTCAGCCAATTCACTGGGAGCCAAACCACGTCTCCAAGCCGGGAGTCTCGTGATGGCTTTTCCCTTGCTGCTTAAGACCTGCTACTTTGGCTACTTTGCCTTAAGATCTGAGAGATTCGTTTTACATCCTCTTAAACTGACTAGTGTTAGAGAGACTTGAGCCGAATTTTAGGATTTGGGCTATTCTAAATTTAGATGGAAAAGTTAGGGACATTTGAGTTTTGAATGAAAGACAAAATGAGAAGGGTCCCCATCGTTTCTTTCCCAGGCGATCATAGCAACCTCTCGATTAGTATCTCTGCCTTTGACCTCAAGCCCACCCCTACCCTCAACCCTAATGATGACAGATATTTTAATTTCTTACCCTCCTGAACAATATTTATTTTTGAAAACGATTTTTTGAGAAATAATGCTTAACTCTGTTTCATAAAGCATATTGTTTTCACAGAAAACTAGTCCCTTAGGATATTCCACAAAAATGAAAGGGTTTAAGACTTATACAGGTCATAGGGTCAGTACATTTCAAAGCTGAGTGTGAACCCAGGCTCCTCTACTACAAACTCCACAGGCTTAACCATCGCGCTGCACTGACGGGAACAGAATATTTGGGTGCTCTGCTAAGAGATATCTGTTCTAGACCAAGTTTTAGTGGAATTTTTTTTCCTCTTTATTAGGTTGCCTTTAAGATGTACTTGGGGATTACACCAAGTGTGACCTGTAACAATTCAAGCAGGACTGAATTTTCCCTGATCCTAGACAAGAATCCGCTGGTGGAGTTTGTGGAAGAGCTCCCCGCCGGGAGATCCTCTCTCTGCTACTGCAATTTACTCTGTGGGATTATCAGAGGTGCCCTGGAAATGGTAAAGCACGTATTTCATTTTGCCAGGTATATTTGTTAGCTAGGGCTGTGTGGCAAATGACCCCCCAAATACAGCTTCTTAAAACAGCAAATATTATCTCACACAGTTTCTAAGAATCAGAAATCTTCGAAGAGTTTTGCTAAGAGCATTTAGCTCTTGTGGCTAGGAGCCTTTCAGAGCTTAATACCGGCGCAGTCCAGCCGTTGCTCAGGGCCGCCATGGTGAAGACTTGACGCAGTCTAGAGAATCCACCTCCAGGCTTACTCACGTGACCTCAGTGCCTGGTTGGCAGATGGCTAGAGGCTTCATGAAATTCCTTGCCACATAAGCCCCTTGGTAGATCCAGTCCCAACAGGTGCTGCCAACCCTGGTACCGTGTGGGAGGATGCTAACTGCCAGTGTGAATAGCAGGAGGCCGAGATCATTGCGGTCTGTTTTGGAGGCTGGCTTCCACACCTGAATTATTCATTGACTTAACAAGGGCAGTGATCAGCATCTGTTAAAAGGCACTGAGCCCACGAGATGAGTAAGACATAGTCACTGCCCTTTAAGAGTTTCTGTCCAGTAGAGAAGTCAGATGTGTGAAGAAGTGTGGATAATGGCTGTGGGAGGAGCTGGGTTGGGTGGAGTGGTGGGGCAGGGAAGACTTCCTAGAGAAACTCTGGGCTGGCATGTGAAGGATAAATAGGAGTTAGGGGAAGCAAGGCTTTAGGGTGAGGGGAGCAGGGGAAAATGATATTCCCGGTAAAAGCAGCATGTCCAAAGGCACAAAAAGAATGTTTCATTAAAGGAACAAGGAACTTGAATGAGTTCAGTATGGGTGACGTGTAGCCTGAGAGAAATACTGTCATGAAAAAGGAGGGTTCACTTCTTTTTTTTTTTTCAATATTCTTAATGGGTTTTTATTTCAATATCCTTAGGAGGGTTCACTTCTTTACAGACGCCTGATTTTTTTTTTTTTTTACCTATCTTAATGCAAAGTCTACATTTTATCTGTCTCCCATAATGTACAGCATTGGCACATAGTAGACTGAATATATATGTTGAATAAAAGAATGAGAGAATGATCTGAAAATTTTCCAGTTCTAGGGTAAGGAGAAGAGGTTGCCATAGATTGGGTATGTGGGTAGCTTCCCTGTGATTCAGCCTCTTGGGGAGGAGCCCATCTGCTTGAAAGTTTTCCAATCTCATTACAAAGGTTCTTTGTCCAGGTCATGAACTTGCCATATTTCACTTTTGGGGACCTGACTGTAAGAAAACTGAGGATACCATCTTCCAGTCTTTAGCATTGCTGTCATCAGGAAGAGAAGGAAACTAGGAAGGTGAATGATCTGGGCCTTCCCTGTTCCTCTAATCTGGGATACAGATACTGTGACCCCTCCTCCTCGGGAGGTTCTCCCAGTTACGGTTTAGTTTTCTGTACTGGGGAAGTCAGTGATGTCAGCTCCGCCAAAAGAACTCCCCGGTCCTATTTCTGAATTGAGACTTGAATGTTGTAGCACTTCAGGGTCACGACTTCTTAGAAAACTGGCTTGAGTTGTGTATAGACCTGCAAGAGCCTCCTCGGCCGGCCGGCCTCTGGGCCAGCATGCTCCTCTCCCCAACCTCCCAGAAGTAACCTGCGTTCTCAGTGTTCCTTTCGCTCTCTGGCCTTAGCGTCGTAGTCGCCTTTCTCCGCTTGACTAGTACTTGTTTCTTTTCACTCCCCCTATTCCTCGCAGGGGGTGCTCTTTGAGGGCTGTTATCACAGTCCTTTATAACTCCCCCCAGAAGCCTGATTTTTAAAAAGTGGTGGGGGGCATTCATATGACCCAAGCTTGGGAATTTAGACTTTTGTAATGAAAGCAGCAGAGGCCCAGTATAGGTTGATAAACAAGGGAATGGTATTTTGAAATTTGTGGTTTAGGAATTTCATTCCTTTGTCATCAAAGTGAAAGTGTACATCGTACCGGGTACGATGCTGAAGGGAAGAAGAGCTGGGAGCTGTGCTGGTAACCTCCAGAGAAACCAGAGCAGGGCGCCTGGGGGCTCAGTCGGTAAGCGGCTGCCTTCAGCTCCGGTCATGGAGCTGGGATCGAGCCCCGCACTGGGCTCCATCCCAGGGTCCTGGGATCGAGCCCCGCATTGGGCTCCCTGCTCGGCGGGAAGCCTGCTTCTCCTTCTCCCTCTCCCCCTGCTTGTGCTCCCTCTCTCGCTGTGTCTCTCTCTGTCAAATAGATAAATAAAATCTTTAAAAAAAAGAAAAGAAAAACCAGAATAAAGCCCTGACAATAGGAGTGGAGGGGGGAAGACCGATTTGAACAACATTAAGAAGGCAGATTAGTAAGGAATTAGACTGAAGACTAGGTTATCAGTTGACTGAAAGAGACAATACTGGGAAAAAGAGTCAGGAATTATTCAGGGTTCTGAGCAACCTGTAAGGATGGTTGCACTGTTAACCAAGAGAGTTCAAACCAAGGAGGGGTACAGTGGGGGTTAGGAGAGACAACGTGAGAAGTTCAGCTTGGGAGGTTCTGGAGTTGAGGTGTCCAACACACAGGCAAGTGATGATATCCAATAAGCAGTTGTACACATGTCTGAAAGCCACAGAGAGATGTGGACCAAAGAGGCATTGGAACTGTCAAAAGATGGGTCAGAGGTGTGTAGAGGAAGAAGGAAGAGGAGTCACGGGTGGAAGCCTAGGAAGCAATAACAGGTACTGAGTAAGTTGAAGAGAGAATACAAAGGCTGCAAAGGACACCAAGAAGGAGGAATCAGAGGTGGGGACAATACTAGGACAGAATGGAGTGAGAAGCAAAGGAGGAGAGTATTTCAAGAAGAGGGAGTGATTCACAAGGTCAAGAACAGCAGAGAGGCTAAGTAAAACAAGACCTGAAAAATAGTCAAAACACGTAGGGACTGAAAAGTCAGGAAGGACCTTAGTAAAAGCTGGTTTGGGAAAGCGAAGGAAGAAGAAGACCATCTGTCAAAGACTGTCAAGTCAAGGGCAGCTTAGAAAGAAATAATAGTCCACAAAGTGTCATTTTTCCAGAAGCTTAGCTACTAAGAGTGCCGGGACCAGAGAGTCCCCAAAGACTAAACCTGTGTCGACCTACACAATAATGAGGCATCCGTGTAATTTTTGATTATTGGTGATAATTAGAGGAAGGATATAATAACAGATAATCCAGAAGAATAAAACAATCAAAATAATGTATTATTCACACAGATCTTCCATGCTTCTATCCTACCAATTTTTTAGGTTTGCCCTATCCAGAAATTAAGAAAAGGGAAGGGAAATGTTCTGGGAGCTTATAAGCAAAGGAATGAACCATAAAACAAAGGCAAAAATAGGATAAGGAATTCTCCAGCTTTCACGGATAACAGTCAATTCTAGTGCTATATGACAGATATCAGACCTCATGTGGCCTCAAATATATATCCAAATAGCTTCAATGTAGCTTCCTTGCTTATTTTACTTGACCTTCTGTTAAATTTTGACAAAGACAAAAATGATCTCATGGGGGGAAATGAGGGTGAATATAGCTTCTTTATTTCAATTGCCTACTAGACCCAGGCTTTTTCACTTATTTGCTTTTACCAACCAAGTACTTTTGCTTAGTTATCTTATTTATCCCAATGATTTAAAATAGCTGAATGGACACTCTGTTGAGGGTAGTAGGTCAGCAATATGCTGCTGTTATGTGAATACATTTTAATGAATAGAGAAGTAGGCCCTATGGGATTACTCCAATGTATGGGAAGTGGGAAATGCTTTACAGTGGAAAAGAAGGGCTGGATATCAAATATTCATGTCTGTAATTTCAGTCTTTAATTTTATATTTATAATTTATTTAGTTGATACTTTTTCAAGGCTCTCAAAGCCATAAGTGATTGCTCAGTGTTGTTAGGACAAGTGATTATGTTATTTAGCTGATGATAGAATGACTGAATGCAAGTCAGTGGGAAAGAAATCGTTTAAGAATCCATTTATCCTTGGAAGTTCTGCTTGACAAGGCACATTGGGTCAAAGCTATCTTTGAGCTGGGAATCTGTGCTCTTCTTGAGATGGACCCATAGTTCAGCTGTGCACTATGAGCAAGAGTGGGCCCATATGTCTGGGCTTGCGGCACGATCATCCAGGCTGGGCCTGGCCTGGCGTACCCTTCTCTCTGCAGACTCACACCACAGAGCTGACACACAGCCAGACCATCTCTGGAGGACACACAGTAAAGGGCCCTTCATCCACAGAGAAAGCTCTCTTTTATCATCCCATAAGGAAAGTCAGCCCCTTATAGGGTAAATAGAGCCGAAAACAGAAAAATTTAGAGTCTTTTTTTAAAACCTAAATGACACAAGCCTGTTTCTTTTTCCTTCCCTAGGTTCATTTGGCTGCTGATGTTACATTCTTGCAAGACAGACTGAAAGGCGACCGTGTGACAGAAATAGGAATAACATTTCTGAGAAAGCTAGATGAGAAAAAATACAGACGGAAAAAATGAAGCATTGCATGCACAATGCCACAGGGGGGCCAGTTGAGGAGTTAATATTATCTAAACATACAGAGCCATAGAAATTTTGAATTGTTTAATAATAGCATGGGCTTTAAAAAGCTTATATATCAGCAAGAAATTTGAAGTGCAGGGCACTAGGATTTAAAGATTTTTTTTCTTTGCTGATAAATTATACATTTTCAATCTTATGTCCATTAGATTTCATATACAAATAACTCCTTATAAGATAGCATACATGAATTCACATATCATACAGCCCATCCTAACAGAGTGTACTGATTTCATTTACTTATGGTAATGGAAAAAAAAAAGCATACAAACTACACAGTTGGTGTATTCATTCTCACTGGAAAAAATAGATGAAATGATACAATATAGAGTTCACTATATATAGACAATTTCTAGATACTGTATGTTGCATTCTCTATAGAAAAAGTGCCATTTATAACACTTTTCCATATTTTTGAGTAACTATGGGTATGATTTCTTTCATATACTGGCTTGGTTTGTCACTTCAGCCTCCTGAAGTTGCTCTCTCTTGATTTATAATTACCAAGGCAAGCTGTTTATTTGCATGCTAATTCTGAAATATTTTTAAGGAGCATTTAGTTTTAATTCATGTAATTTTTAGATAGTATTAACCAAATGTCTTCCTATTTTCATGAAACATTGCTGATGGTCTGGCCAGGAAACCTCTAAAATGAGAGGTAAATAATGTTTTTTGAAAATACTTTCTTACCCCAAAGCTTATTCAGTTAGAATTTTTGCGGTCATTTTTATCCCCTAAAAAGCCTTACAAACATGCTTTGTCTGTGACCAGAACATACTTAAAATTCAGAATGTACTGGATTCAATAAACAATAATCTTTACCAGACCATCAGCATACGCAGGAAGCCTCTATGCAGTCCAGAATCTGCTGGGCTCTGCAGAGAACTGAAATTCCAAGTAAGTTACAATTAGTGCAGGTCCATCAGTTAAAACTGGTGTAAATAATATGATCGTGGTAGACCTCAACTAGGACTCAGGAGCCTAAAGACACAGTACCAGGTCTGTTTCTAGTGGATTCAGCTGATCCTAACTGGTGGCTCAATCTTAGGCAAGGCACGTAATCTCTCAAGTGCGCTCTCTCTCTCATTTATAAAATGGCACAACTGAAAAAAAATAAAAATTTAAAAATTTAAAAAAATGGCACAATTGAACATAAGTATCTTAAATTATATAAAAGAGTTTAAATGACATCAAAAACTGCTGAAATTCCACATTTTTGGATTTTGAAGACTCTGAGGAAATGGTTTGTTCCCTACCTACGCAGCTGTCTCTTCAAAAGGGCATCGAGGTCAGTATTAAGGACCAAATAGGGTCACTGGGGCAGCTGCAGCAACCATGGAAGGAACTTTAAGCCAGTTCCACAGAAGACCAGGAGTAGAATCGGGAAAATGAATATTACCTGACATCAGAAGGGGTATCACAATGCCATGTATTTTAAACTGATGCCTCCAGAAGAATGTTTGCCTGCCATCCATCCCAAAGCTTCTCTTAGGGATGTTTCCATCTTCTGTTCTGTTTCCTCTTTGCTTACCCTCACCCCTCCAGGAACCCCAAATACTTACGTCTAAGGGCCTCCCTCTTAAATCAGTACCCAACTAGCCCTCTTGTAAATGTTCCATGCTCTGGAGTATTCACTTACCTGACTACACCTTGCTCTCCTTTCTGTCCCAACCCAGCCATCCAACTGCCTTGGCCGGCTGTCTTCATTGCCCATCCACCGGAAGACGGCTGAATCTGATACTCTCAATGATGCGGAGTGTTAGAACCAGTGATGGCGTCGGGATAAGGCTCATTCCCCATCCTTTCATTCGCCCCCTCACCTTAGAGAGGGAGACCAGTCTTTTGGATTGAATTTGTGGTATGGACAGTGACCTACTTAACCAAGAGAGAAGACTGTGCAGTAGTCCCCCCCTATCCGTAGGGATATGTTCCCAAACCCCCAGTGGATGTCTGAAGCCACGAATAGTACTGAACCCTATATATACTATGTTCTTCCCATATATATATACATACCTCTGATAAAGGTATGTTGTTTAATAGCTTCAATTTTTAAATTTAAATGAACTAAAATTAGATTAAAAATTCATTTCCTCAGTCACACTAGTCACATTTTAAGTGTTCTGCATGCAGCCATATGTGGCTAGCGACTACTCTAATGTACAGCACAGGTCTGTAATTCCCAAAGATCCACTGGGTTTCCTTGACCTTGGACACCAAGAACTAATGGGGAGGATCCAGGTTAATAGGGAGAAAGGAGACAGAAAGAAAAACGTAAGAAAGACATCAGAGATCAATGAAATGCTGAGTCGTGACCCATAAAAACAGAAAAGTTCCTATGTAAAGGTTTCATACTAAAAGAAGGTTGCACACCATCCTCTGGATTCCAAGTGTATTTTCACCCCCTTTGTGTGAGGCTGAGTCTTTCTAATAAAAGCCTTGTGGAAGTTGCACAGTGTAAATACAGAGTTTTTATTTCGTAAAAGCCTTCCCTCTGAACCCCAAATCTTGATCAAAGCAGAGATTTTATCGTTTTGGCAAAGCCGAAAGGGAAGAAAAGTTTGGGGCAGAGAGAGAGTTTATTGCTGTTCAAAAGGCATCACCAGATTCCTACCTGAACTGTTTACTGGTGAGACCCGCTGTGGGTGCCTATTCACTATTTGAGTTGCCAGGAATCGGAAATACTTCCTTCAGCAGTCCGCTTACTTGTTTATTGTCTTCTCAAATCTCTTAGGTTCATCCTGTCATTATTAGAAGACTGGCTCTCTTTAGCAGTTGGAATGGACTATTATGAATAAGTGGAAAGTTCCCTTTTCTCTCTGTTTTATGAAGGACCAAAGTAGAAATATGGAAAACCAGACACACGAAGTGAGACAATGACATTAAAACTCTTGTAACCAAAGAGGCCACTTTAATCAAGTTCTGCTAAACGTTAACTTTTGTAAACGTTCAAAGAGATGATATTATTCATTGTTAAGGGTCTGTCAGTTGGGACGGTAGACTCCGAGTGGTTGTTATATTTCACAGACTCCTCCATCAGCTATGGAGGCTAATTAATTTCTCCACAGTAACACCAAAGTCCATGATAGGTACCACCCCAGGCATAGAAACTTGGTTGGACAAACATTTTCTTCTTTAAAAAGAGAGCCAAGCGAGGCCCCTGGGTGGCTCAGTCAGTTAAGCATCAGCCTTCGGCTCAGACCATGATCTCAGGGTCCTGGGATCGGAGCCTCGCATCGGGAACCCTGCTCAGTGGGGAGCCTGCTTCTCCCTCTCCTTCTGCCCCTCTTCCTGCTCGTTCTCTGTCGCTCACTCTCTCTCTCTCAACTCTCTCTCAAATAAATAAAGTCTTCAAAAAAAAAAAAAAGGAGGGCAAAACTTTGTTTATCCTGCTTGGATGCATATTAAAAAAAAAAAAAATCTGTCCAGTTGCTGTACTTCTTCATTCTGGTAAACCTTCCAGAACTTTAGCTGGACATGACCAGTGGTTGACCAAGAGTGGTTCTGGCAAATAAGCAGACAGAAGGAAAGGGGACATGTCAGTATAGTGTACCAGTCTATCATCTGAGAAGGAGACACCCAGTTCTTATTCAATCAGCTGTAGTCACCCTACAACTGAACTAAGTAAGGCATAGCCACAGCAATCGTTAGGAAAACTTTCTTTTTCAAGTGTTTCACTAAGAAAGGAGGTGCTAAACAAAACACATCAATGGTTGGAAATCCTTCACTAAAAACATAAGAAATAAATGTCCTAGGACAATTCCTTTTTCCCACTCAAACTCAAACTCCGTATTTCCCAATTAAATCTTTCTTTGTTTTCCTTCCTTCAGTTTCTTTTGTCTTCCATTTTTTCTTCTAGGAGCTCTGTTGCCACTACGTATGCTTCTTTTTCCCAAAGATTCTTCCTGCAACTCCTTTACTTCATCCTTTATTCCCTCTTCCACTTACTTTACTTTCATTATGCTTCATATAATGGGTATTTGTTGGCTGCCTATATCTCCACTAACAGAATGGTGGTTTTTTCTGTTCAGCTGCACACCATCTTATTAGGCAACCCATCCTTCAGGAAAGGTCGTCTCTATCCCCTGCTCCATTGCTATCCCCTGGGCATAGTGGCTCTACCCCAGTTGAAAATCACCCCTTTGCCAGTCAGAGCTAAGCCAGTCAGGACGTGGCATTCCCCAGACCACAACCATTGCTGCTGACATAGAACAGGGGACAAGGATGAATGGCCTGGAAAAGCACAAGCCTGCCTGTTACGTGAGCTTATCAATTTACTGCGTTCTTTGAGCAAGTGGAGTTGTGTTTCTGTTATAGTAATGCAACGAAGTTCACTGCATGATAAACAAGTGAGAGGTCTAGATACTTTGCAACGTATTGGAGAATACCAAAGAGAATAAACTTTATTATTACATTTTTCACATGGTTGAATGCTCAATGAAATAAATTTGGCTTTACAATAGCTCTCCTCCTCACAGAAAGGAAAAGGTCACAGAAGAGAGAGACTAGAAACCATGCAGGATAGTGTGCATACACCCAGCACACAAGTCCCAGAAAAGGGAGACGCCACAGGGAGAAGATATTTTGAATCAGCGGTAGCTCTTTATAAAAACAAACAAACAAAACTCATACATCTCAGGTACTTCAGCTATTTTTACTGGAAACTTAAATCCCATCAGGAATCACCCAAGGATTCCAAAGTCAGAACAATCCTAATTTCTGGAGCCTCCCAGTGGCCTAAATCTTCCAAGCCAGCAGACTACTGAGTGACTTGGTGTTTCCGAGCAGTGTGTGAATCACATAGATTTTTAATGGCTTAAAAGAGGAAAGGCTAATTCCCTGTGGTCTGTGTATAGCAAACAACAGAAGCACCTGGAAATGCTGCTTTCTTGGTTTTGGATTCAATTAAGATTTTTATCTGGTGCTAGGCACATCCATTATGTGGTGTGTCACTTAATTTTCATAACAATCTGCGAGGCATTAGGGGGCAACAAAGACAAAGAGATAGATATGAAACTACAAAGGAGCTAAACTTGCCCGTGCTTTAAGTGCATTAAGACCAGGCTGGTGAGTGGAGGGAGGGGGCAATGCTTGTCTCTTGTCTCCCTTGAGAGGCTGAGTGAGGGACCACAAGAAGAGGAGGTAGCTTAGGAAAGAAGCTAATAAGCTGTGAATATTTTGAGTTTGAGGTGCCTTTGAAATATCTAAAAAACCTCAGAAGGTCAGAGGCCTGGACTGAAGATGGGCTTTGGAGTCATCGGTACATGCATAATAGACACAATGGATGTGGATGGCAACATCTGCAGAGAGCATGGACTTCAGGAAATACAAGGAAAAAAGAATCTTGACAAATACTACCATTCAAGAGGCAGCAGGGAAAGAAGAGCACAGGTGAGGTTGACCTTTCCATCACAGACAGAGACGGGAGACCCTGGTGACGTGAAAGCTAAGAGAGTCTCAAGGAGACTCAAGCAGAGTGGTCAGAGGCATTAGATGCCACAGAAAAGCCGAGAAAGGTCAGAGAAGGGACATTGGGTTTGATAAGGAGAGGGTCTCTGCCTCAGAGCAATTTCAGGGCAAGATGGAGGCAGCAGACCTGTCACAGCGGACTGAGGAGTCAGCCCGAGGAGAGAGACCATGTGATTATTCCAAGATGGTTCTTGGAACTTGACTGTAAGCAGAAAGAGATGGAGGATACTTGTGTAAAATTGGGTGCCTGTTTGCTCTTTTATTTTTATTTCTTTAAGAATGTGAGACATTTGAAGATACAGGAGAGAGAGAATGACTGAGGAATCAAGGCTCTGGGGAGGTAGAAGGGGTCAGGGTCCAGATCAAAAAAGTTTGACTCTGAACGGCGCAAAGACTACCGCATCCCCTGAGAAAGGAGCAAAGAAGGTGAGATGGGGCATGGTTGGGGAATGGGATGGGAGATGATAGGGGAAGACCCTGACAGAGCTCATGACCTGTGGCCTCAATCTTCCCTGTGAGGCAGGGTCTTTGTGGAGATGGAGGTGGAGGGTAGCCTCATGAGGATACCTTCTACTGTAGGCCATGGCTCATGCTCTCCCACTCACACCCAGAAATAGAAAACAGCCCAG